TCTGTACAATGACAGGCTCCAGAGATGACACTGGCAACTCTTTTGGGGGAACCGGAACAAAGTGCAAGTGGAAGTCCAGACGTGGATGGAAATCTTTCCACCCCGCACTTGTCACCACACCCCGAGCCAAACTCCTCTCTGTCCCGCTGAGGAACGGCCTCCACACCCCTCGGTTCTCCAGGAAGGAGTGAGAAGTGTGACCCTCACAGATCCTTCTTCAACAGCCTGAGAGCTGCCCAGACACACAGCTCAGACCGACTGGGTTTGGGGGACTGGAGAAGGCTCCAAAGTCACTGTGCCCATCTCACCCCTTCTGTGAGCAGAAACTCACAACAAAACAGTCAACCCACAGCAGGTTTCATCGGTAAATGCTCTGCTTGACTTGATAGGAAGAAAAATAAATATCTAGCTAGAATTTTTCTAAAGATGGCCAGTAAAAATGAAATGGAAAAGTTGTCCCAACTCATCAGAAAAGCAAGGGTTCATACAATCTGTTCAATACTCAAAACCAATTGCCAAACCCACATCTCAAAGCTGCGTGACAAAAGAAACGGAGATCCACACAGCCAAACATTTATACCCTTAATACAACACACCTCTAAATGCACCTTTTGAGACACTCAAGAGTTTTCTGGAACTGGCAGGCACTGCTCTTCAGCTTGCCTGTAACCTCTCAGCAGTGTTAAGGCTTCTGGGGAAACTCAGCCTGTTGTCATAAAGGGAATGATAACAGGGAATAAAGGGAATTACAAAACAGGAGATAGTTTGTATGCACAGCTGGTCCTTTCTCCATCCACATCTCTTGTTATTCACTAAAAATAACATAGAAAGAGTAGGAATTTTTTCTTTCTTTTATATAAAAGTACTTCTGTGAAGTTGTCACGCATTTGCTCAGGTTTATTAAAGACCTGGCAAAGCCTTTATTATTAACCAGCACATTTTCAAGCTGATGGACATTTAGGATTATCTCCCCCTTAGCTCCTTCCCCCTCTCCCAATTCCTTTGTTTGCCACTTCAAGTCAAGTTGAAAAGGAAGAAGTGTGAAAGCGATTATTAGCCAAAAAGAACTGCTCCTGAGAAGGTCCTGCAAAGATAAGCCTTATCAAACTTCACAGCAGCTACAAACAAGGCAAGAATCGTAGGGATCACTTTCATTTACCACCAAAGTACATTTATTAATGTAATCAACCCCAAGCCTTACACAAGAGAATTAGGAAAGAAAGTGAAGCCCCTCCAGGCACGACGGGAATGTATTAAGCAAGAATGGAATTGCCTGGCTTGGAAGGCACCCAGAGCAGAAATCCCCTTGCACTGGGCACTCTGGGCAGGCAGACGGGAACAAGAGGTGGGAGGTGGTGGTCGGGAAGGGTTATGGGAATGATCTGCAATGTTCTGCTGTTATCAATCCCGGCCTCAGCCAGAGGAACTCTCGGATCCCTGGCAGATCCAGCTTCTGGAAACTCCCAAGTTTCAGAACTGACGACACAGAACATTCTGCAGCTCTAAGCCAAGGGACAGCAAGTGCCAAACTCGGACAACTTTCGCTGTCTGCTCTTGGTGTCCCATGCCCGGTGACATTCCCTAACCCTTCTCCCAAACACACCCGTGGGAGCACGACCATCTCCCTTCCCTCACACAACACTCACTCTTTGAGCCTGCCAAAAGAGACAGTAGCTTGGTTTGTGCTTATATTTTTGCAGTCCTATTTTACAGTTGACATATAATTTAAACAAAACACATGAAATCCAGAGTAGGCTCCAGTCTTACAGCTCTCAGTCTTTACTTCAGCTACTAAAACCCAACAGAACGATTTTTCAGGCTCAAGCAGATCCTCTAGAAGAGCAGCCCAGCTCCTGAAGATCCATTTTCATACTCTTTTAAGAGATCCTATTGTAAGCTTGACCATCCCCTCTTGTCACAGCTTCAGGATAACAATCCTGCACTGACAGGACATGCAATATGTTCACAGCACTACGGGACATCCCTGTCATCCAACACCAGCGGGGTCAGGGAGCACAGCACTTTCTAACCCCCTGAGACCCTGGGTAATGAATATTAAAGCCTGGTTCACACCCAATTCATTTCCTCTGCCCTCCTGACCTGTATGGGAAAACACCACTGTTGGCTGTGTTTATTGATCTTCTGTTATCCCTTGTCCATCAGTCACCTCCTCTTTTAGAACACCAACTTCACAACTGATTTGGACTCTGCACAGCAGAGTAACACACCCTGCTGTCTGGAGAGGAGAGAGTTAAAATAAAGAGAGAGAAAGGTAATGAACAGAGAAGTAGGAGTTCTGAGGAACAGGAAGGCAAGATTGGCAGGATCTTGCTTTTTTACCATTCTGTTCTCATGTCTCTCCAAAGGCACCAACAATGGGCTTCATCAGAGGCCACAGATCTGAGTGCCCAGAGAATGAAGGTGATGGTAAAGAACTCAACACCTCAGAACTCTTCTCCTTGCAGGTGGTCAAAGCCCAGCCCTCCCAACGCTCCCGAGGGGCTGAGGCTGCTGGGTGAGGATTAACATTCCCACCAATGTGCAATCTTCAAGTCTTGTTGCCCCAGGCTGGAAATGGGACCTCGATCAATTATTATTAACTTTCCAACTTCCAACCTCCAAGCTTGCCATGTTAACAGAAGCATTAAAGAAGTTCAACTGTCCCAGAAGACATAACTCACAATTCTGTCAAGAACTGCTGATCATGTACTTTTATGACACAATAATTGCAATTTTTGTCCTACACATCCAGAAAAGCAGATGAATCCAACCGCTTATCGTACAAAAAACACCCAACCCTTTACTTTGTGGATTTAAACCATTTAGCACAATCCTCTACTACAATGAGTGGTACTTTTTTTTTTTAATCAACAGTTCTCTCAGTAATTCACTGTTCTACTGTCCTCCCCCTGGAAAGCACAGCACATCCTCTCTAATGTCCACTTCACATTACTTAAAAAGTCAATGCCCATCTCTTTTACTGGGCACACGTGGCTCCCTTCTGCATTTCCAGTGTTCTCTCTCCTCTGAATGCCTCTCTCCTAATACCAAGCACACGCTCCTGACAGCTCACAGTATTAACTCTCATCTTTATTTCTCTAATCTCTAAGCCTGCATCACACCCTTCTTTTCCAACATACATTGTCATCTGATTGTTTCATTTAGGGCACTGAGGGTTTCTAGCACATGAAGGCCTTTATTCACAGATAAGTGCTTCAGAGCACACTGAATTAGCTTTACTGCTGTGGACATCTGATACCACAATTTCTAGCTTACCAAGGAAAAAGAATAAAAATCCAAATTTGAGGGACTTTTCCAAGCTCCAAAACTGTGTTTAAGTCCAGAATTTACGTACCCTCCCCTTCACTACAATTTATCCTAATAAATAGCCTTTGTTTTATTTTATTTCAGTTCCTGGGCAGGTATCAGTTACACTCTGCACATTCAGCACCACAATTTACTCATCTCACAGGCCAAAACTGGCTAAAGCTCTTTGAGGGCAGGACAGGGATCAGCAGCACAGGAAACATGTCCTGTGTGTCCTGTGCCGTGCTTGTGACTCGTCACCTGCACACCCACACAACGTCACTCTGGTGGCCTCTCAGAAACCTCCTGACTTCATGGAAGGGATGTGGCTGAATTGCACAGAAAGGTGAGGTTAGAGCAGCACAGGCACAAATCTGCCAACTAAAAACCTACTGGAATGCAAGAGTGCATCTTCAGTCCTCTAGCTACGTGATTTGCAATTTATTTCATTTGTATTAATCTTCTATTTACCGGGTAGGTTTCTGTATCTCCCATTCCTTTGTTTACACACCTGCCACAACAGAGGAATTGTTAACATTATGTGTCCTGTCAGGGTTTCCCACTCCACATTCTTCACTTTGAAAACCAGCTGTTTTAGAAGTTCTTCCGTTAGAAACAACTAAGCACTCGCTATTAACATCTGAAACTCCTCAAGAGTTGTTTTCATGCAAAAAGAAAGATGCAATTAATGTATGTATTTTACTGGGCTGTGTCCTTCTTCAAGTTTCAACTTTGAATTTTATTCACTGATTTTTTTTTTTCTGAAATAAAGGCAATATCTCACTAAGTTCTTTGCCTGGACCAAAAGATGATGTTCTCACAAGAGATGATGTTCCCTTTACCAGGACAATTCCCATACCATATCCCAGCAGAGCCATCTTTGAGCACAGAGTTAACTTTTTGGTCTTTTACTGCAGAGAGAACTCACCTTACCCTGTCCTGCCTCAGAAACACTACCTCAAGCCTCAGCACCTACTCGGAGTATAATTAATATGCCACCCACAACAAAGCAGCTTGTTGGATCAGCTCTGAAGTCAGACAGAACAGTAACCTCCCATACATCATAAACCAACACAATGCCAGCCTTTAAAAGTCAATTCTAACATCAAAAACACTACTTTCTTCTGCTTAAATTAAAGTGCTTTTATCTCTAATTTAGTCCATTTTCAATCCAGAGAATAGGGTACTCACACTGCCTGAATTTTACTCAGTTTAGGAATATGAAGTTATTTTAACAGTAAAAAAAAAGGCTACATCTTCCTGTAAAAGTGCACACTCCTGAAATTGTGAGCCTGCCTTGTTTTCCCGAGTTAGGCAATATCATCTTGAAAGAGGAGTATGACAAAGCATCTTAACAGAAGATAATCTTACAGCACTGAAGTCTTGCTCTAATTTATCTTACAGTTACAATACTTAGGTCGCATATGAAACTTCAAATGAATCTCTGCTGTATACTTAATTCCCTGAAATTACAGACAGCAATTCCTCAAGACATTTGCTGAGAGACACAAATCACCAAGAAGTTGAGCACAAACATGAAAAAGGAACTTTAGCACACGCTGAGGAGACACAGCACACGGGTTCAGCCACTGAACTGCAACAGAGGCAACACACAAACGACGCTGGGAATGGAAAGAGAAGCAGAAACCAGAGAGCCGACCGGGGAGAGAAAACAATTTCAGGAGACAGAAAACCTTTGGTACTAAAAAAGCCAGCTGGAAACGCTGCCCCTGCTCCCGCAGGAGCGGCCGCCGCTTCCTCCGCCGCTTGTTCTGGAGGTGTCGCTCGTACTCCGGCAGCTGCTGCCCAACCGCTCCCGCGGCTCAGCCCGGCTCTGCCACACCGGGGGGCAGCGCTCCAGGCCAGCCCAGCCCAGCTCAGCCCAACCCAGCCCAGCTCAGCTTAAGCCCAGCCCAGTCCAGCCCAGCTCAGCTCAGCTTAGCCCAGCTCAGCCCAGCCCAGCTCAGCCCAGCCCAGCGCCACAGCAGCCGCCGGGTCCTGGCTCGGCTCCCTCAGCCCGGCGGGTCCCCCCGGCCGCCATCGCCCTGCCCGGCCCCGGGACACGCCCGCGGCGCGGCCCGACCGCCCCCCCGGCCCCTCCGCTCCCCCCTGGCCGCATCGGCCGGCGCGGGGCCGCCCTGCCCTCACCTCGGCTCAGCCGCGGCTCATGGCACTGCCCGGCGCGGCCCCGGCCCGGCTCCAGCCCGCGCCGGGCGGTGGCAGCGGCGGGGAGGCGGCGGCGCCGCCGATCCGGGCCCCGCGGGGGGACGGGCCTGGCCGAGCCGCCGCAGCGCCGGCCGGGGGGCGGGACGGGGCGGAGCGGGGCGGGACGGGGACTGGGAGAGGGGGACCCGCGGGCTGCGAGGTGGCCCCGCGGGCGATCGGGCTCGGGCGGCCGGTGGCGGTGACGGGCAGAACGGGCCCCGCGGCCCGCGCGGGGTCACGGCCGCTCCCCGCGCCCCCGGGCCGAGCCTGCCGGGCCGCCCCGATAAACCCGGCGGCTCCAGGACACGGGGTTCGGCTTGTGCTGCCAGCGCCGTGCGGGGAGCGGCCGCTGCAGGAAGTGTGTGTGTGTGCGGCCAGCAAAGCTGGTGCCTGAACGCTTCGCCAGAAATCCTCGTCTGTCACCCAGCGAGCCCAGGAAACGTGCCCTGGCAGAGGTCGTTTTATTTACCCTTCGTATTTACCAATTAGTAGCGCACAGGGAGAAAAAAGAATTAATTCTCTGTGTCAGAAGGTTGTTCTCCCAGTAATGGTGTCTTGCAGTAAATTACAGCCTCACCACTGCTTTTACCCTTCACTTAATTGCTGTTGCTTCTGAGGGCAGTTCATCATGACATTACAACATTACACCGGGTCAGACTCACGCTGGCCTTGGCTGCCCAGGTTTCTTTAGCTCACCCTTGGGTTAATTTGGCTGTGTCAATTCTTAATAATTTCAGTTTGAATCGAAACATAAAGAATCCTATGAGATCTTTCAGACTCTGTATTTCATACCAGTGTTCAAATTTGTGATACATCATAAGGTGATGAGACAACAGTAATTTATTTACGAGCCAACATTTAGTGGGACACGTGAGCAGAATTCAAATTACTCCAAACTAGCTAAAGCAAAGAGTTAAATACCTAATTATAATTTTCAAACAGCTTCCTGCCTTATCTGCAGCTTTAGCTCAGCCACGGTTTGGCATCCTTTTATATCAGGCATTATATACATGGGTTTGCAGTCTAGTTCAAAAGGATGTGCAAGTGACACTCAAACTGCTTTGCTCTTCACATTGCAGCAACAGTCCAGTGCTTGTGGAGGTGAATTTTCACCAGCATCTTTGAGTTCTGATTTTAAAACCAGGATTCCTGCAGGTAACTGGAAAACAGAGTTGCTGAGAGGGGTCAGCACCCAGCAAAACCTGTGTCAGTGAGGAGTCTGAGCTCACCAAATGGATGGTAGAGCCTTCAAGCTGTTGGACGTCTGAGCACTAAGTTCAGCAGTCTGAAGGCTCCCTGAGCTGCAGGAACCCAACAAGAGACTGGATTGTATAAGCATCACTGCATCATCTTAATGTTAATTAAAAAGGCAACGTTCTATTTGAAATATATGTACAAGTGCATTCAATCCCCTAGGGCAGGTTTCTGTTCATGGCTGCCCTGGCATATAGGCAGACCTTTGAATCCTTATACTGTGCTGATGTTAATAGTTTCCACAGTCTGGAGATAAGATAATGGTTGTTTTCTTAACACCAGGTTTTCTGTGCAGGAACAGAGCCTATGGCTGAAACTGAGGCTGGTGGGCTGGTTTTAGCCTTGTTAGACTATAATCCACTCACTTCAGAGCTTCTGAAGCTTTTTCTGCCCTCTCTTTGCACATAAGTTCAACAACATATGGCCTGAAAAGCATGACCTTAAGAGAAATATTTTTGCACCTGAAATGAGGTGCTCGGCAGAGGCTTCTTCCCTAGTGTGCTGGGCAAAGGCTGGAGCCAGGCAGTGGGAAAAACTGGCCACAAGCTGTGTCTGACCAGGGTACCTACCTCTGGGCTGCATGGCCTCTTGGGAATCCTCTTCTGAAGATGAAAGAGGAGGAAAAGGGAAAACCTCTGAATTTTTGAATCATTCGGTGCTGTAGGAATGGATCCTTTTGCTGGATAATTATCTTCTACCCATCCTACAAAAAGACAACAGAATAAAGTAATGCTTATTTATTTTAATGTTTCAGTATCCTGTGTATAAATACCCAGCTATTCTGAGAAACAGCAGCCTGCAGGCTCTAGGAACAGGTATCTACAGTCAGGAGCTGCTTTTGAAAAAAATTACTTTAATCTTTTGGAATATGTGAGGGAGACATTTAAATACCTTTAGAAGCAGTGCTCAAGCGGGCTGTAAAATAATATTTCTCCCCCAGAACTCCTGTGAGGCTCAGTTCCCTTCTCTGTAATGCCCCCATCAGAATTTTCACAGCTCAGGGCAGTTCACAGCTTCTACTTTTGTGAGAAAAGAACATTACATGAGCTTTGGGGTTCCACGTGGTTTTCCCAAATCTCATTTGCCGTCAGATGCCAGGGAAGACCCGGGAGCTGCAGGACAGGCCTTGCAATTTTATCCAGAGAGGCTTTAAAGGGAATGAGGAGCAGCTGTGCCTGAGCGCGGGAATCTTGGCACACACGGGGCTGTGTGTGTGTGTGAGAACAGCTTTGCTCTTGGTTTGTTTGGTTGTCACTGGTAAAATATTAAATGCAATGGAAAGAGGCTTAGCATGGAAAAAACAAACACGGCTCCAGCCCACTCAGAGTGTGCAGGGCTGGCCAGGCCGGGGCTTCCCAGGGAGCTTCAGCTGGCCCTGATAGTGGGTATGGAGGAGAGTGGGAGCTCCCTGAGTGCCACCCTCCTTCCACACCACAACCACGGTGTCCTCAGCATCCCCAGTTCTTTCCCTGCCAGTGGTTTCACTGCTGTCTTTGGACCTGAATTGTCTACGTTGCAAATTGCCCATCCTGGCCTCCAGCCCGTCACTTGTCCCCACATTGATCCCAGTTCCTGGCACAGAGGGGCACAGCCTGGTCCTGCCCTCCTCAGGGAGCCTTCCCAGCCAGCTCCCCAAGCCTGGCTCTGACTCTGCTTCTAAAATCCCCCTGGGATCTGCAGAAATCCTGAGCTCTTGTTGCTTCCTGTGCTAAAGCACATTATTCTGGGGTTTGGGTGGGGTTTTTCTATTACTGCTTCATTTTTAAAGCTGAGCTGAGGATAGATCCTCTCCTCCTCATTTGCCCTGGTGATCTTCCTGTTTCTTCTTTTATTTTTTTTACATACTTATTTATTAAAGGCTCCTAGATTGCCAAGTGTCTGTGGAGAACCAGCTCTATGCATCTCCTCACGTCAGAGAAGTCACATTTCCAGAGTCGGAGGAGGTTCCCATTTCCAGCTGTCTCGGTGCAGCCGCAGGGGAGGCACAGGGAGCAGCAGCACAGCCTCTCGTGGCTGCCTGCAGGTGAATGTGTTCACAGAACAGGCTGAGTCAAGGCCAGCAAGGTGTGCGGAGGTAGAACGTGTCAAGGTGACACCCAGAGGCAGAGCTGTTCCCAGGGAGGGTGCTGGGTCAAACAGCTTCAGTGCTGCGAATTTGCACTGGTCTCCCTCAGACGTGCAAAACATTCGAGATGCTTCTCACCCCCCTCCCCAGCACTGAATGCAGCCGGGGGAAGGGCCAGTGCACACCCAGAGCAGCGAGGCCACCCCTGACAGGAGCAGAGGGGGGTCCGTGTGCCGTGCAGGACAGCCACGTGCCCGCCGCCAAAGTCACAGGAAGGTTGGAAGAGCTGGTGTCTGTATTTCAGTGTACCTGGCAAATGCACAAAACTCTAAAAGCCTGAAATTTGATCTGCACACGGTGGAGAAGTCAATACCCCTCCCTCCACAGAGACCTTGGTGAGTTAGAATATTCTGGCTGAGTGCTGGAGTCCTCAAGAGAGCGACTGTGACAAAATCCAGAGCTGGGGGAAGGTTTGGAGACATTGGACTACATTTTGTCTGGGCAGGTCTCACACCACAAAGCCTTGACAATAACAGCAGATGCTACAGATAATTTTCTATTAATCTGGAAAAACAAACAGTGGGGTGTCCTGACCTTTTAGCTGCCAAATCATTCACCTATTTTAAATCTGCAAGTAAATTTAGTCCTGCCAGTGCAGAACAGCTGAAGATACATATTTAAATCAGGCACACAGGCTGCCAGTTTTCCACATGCACAGCTCTGCCACAGGAGCATTAACAGAGCCAGCAGTGCCCTCCTGCTCCTGCCTGGCAGATGCTGAGGTTCTACCCTGATGGGCTTAATTTAAATGGTTAGTAAAGGGAAAAAAAGATCATTTACTATAGACTAGAAATGAAGAGCAGCTTCAGATCCACAGCTCCAAACCAACTGTCCAATACGGGGTTTTTGGGGGGGGGAGGAGAACATATGGTCAGGTCACATATGATGATTTCATTGTCCTTTGTCTTCACAGGGAAAGTCAGAAAAATTAATCCAAATTAATCACACGTGTGACTTGCAAGTTACACTGGAGTCCTGTGTGAGTGCTGCTGCTCAGTGTTCCAGTGGCCTTCATTTGATTTAGCTCTCCTCCTTTTCAAAGGGAAGTACACTAAGTCAGATTAATGCCACTTAATTCTGAATATGAATATCTGCATAGGGTTTAATAGAATTTAACTAATCTACTTTAAAATATAATTCAGCTAAGGTTTCCTGAGTGTGCCCTTCGAGGAAAGACTCACATCAATAGACTTAATGGGAATTGTTCCTGGACTGTGTTGGCGTGAGGTCAAAAGTGACTCAAAACATCACTATCAT